CAATTTTTTTTTCCATTTCCAAGTAAGTTGCAGACTTCAGTAAATTTCACCTCTAAACAGTTCAGCTGGGAAATCATTTCCTAGGGTTAAAATTTCTTAACTTTGTGGGGAGGGGATAAAATTTACACGGAGTGAAATGTACAAATCTTAAGTGTTCCATCGTATTAACTTTTTACAGAAAATTAATATTGTTTTGGGTGTTGAGAGATACACAACATCCCTCAAAAGGATGGGATTTGCCTTAAGCTGGTCTGTAGCCCCTTCTTTGAATATTCCCACAAATCTACAACCCATGGTGGGGACTCAGACAAAAAGCAGCCATTTGTCCTTCACATCAAGAATTCCTCTCTGTACCTCCCCTCCCAACCTCCTTCCAACCCACCTTGTTTGAGACTGTTCCTGACCTCCCTCTCTCTGCCACGTGGCCTGGCCCCTGGAAGGCCAGCTATTTACCTCGCTGTAGCCTGGCCTTGTGCACGACACTGGTCTCCATGGACCACAGGTGCCGGCTTCATGCTTGGAGGCAACGTGCTGTTTGGGACAGAGCCCCTTGTCCCAGGCTTCAGCCTGCCAGGGAGGGGCCAGATTAGTAGCTTCTGGGACAGCAGGATCAGCAGAGAGGGGTGGAGACTAGATTGTTGGTTCAAAGAGGGCCATGAGCTTGATGAGAGATGGAACGAAAGAGACCCCCATTCCAGGGGAACAAGTTGGGTCACACAAGCCCAAGCATAGCCAGCCCTTAATGCGCTCTTTCATGAGGGCTTTGATGTCAGATGACCAAACTTCCACTGCATTCTTTCCTCAAGTCTTCCAGGGTTTTGCCTAAAGCAGGGACCACCATCCTCCCCGCCTTCCCCCTCCCCCCCTGCAAGTGATACCCGAGGACGCATGTCAGGGTCAAAGCCGAGGGTCTCAGGGGCTGCAGAGATGAGACCTGACGCCCCACCTGTGATCCTGCATTCAACATGGAAGGGACCAGTGAAGACGAGCATTTCAGGGTTTCAGCAACATCCTGGCCGTAGATTCGGCAGATAACAGCACAGAAGTGTGTGAATCATGAATTGTTGTTTTAGCAAAAGTACTGCAGGTTGATTATAGAAAGTTTAGAGGCTACATACCAGCATATATATTTTCTCCAGAATTTCATTACCAAAAGAGCCATGAATGTTTCAGTTTACAGCCTGCCAGGCTTTTAGCTACTCAGGCACATTTATATATTTTAAAAAGGAAAATCAAATAAACAAAAAAGTCAATACTATATATGTTCATTTGTAATCAGCTTTTTAAAATGAATCTTATCTTAAATATCATTCCATGCAATTTAAACTCATTGTCTGTCATTGTCTTTCATTAAAAATTTGTTATGGGACTTCCCTGGCAGTCCAGTGGTTAAGACTCTGCGCTTCCACCGCAGGGGCCTCTGGTTCGATCCCTGGTTGGGGAACTAAGATCCCTCATGCCATGCGGCACCGCCAAAAAAAAAAAAAATTGCTATCATGAAAATTTTAACATAAACATAAAAGTAGAAAAAACGGTGCAATGAATCCCCACGTAATTATCACCCAGATTCTATTTATCAAGATTTGACACATTTTTCCACATGTTCTTTTGCTAAAATAATAGACAGCACACCCCAGATATCACATCACTTCACTCCTACATACTTCAACATGCTTCTCTTAAAACATATAGGCATTTCTTTTTTTTTTTTTTTTTTTTTTTGCAGTACGGGGGCCTCACTGTTGTGGCCTCTCCCGTTGCGGAGCACAGGCGCCGGACGCGCAGGCTCAGCGGCCATGGCTCACGGGCCCAGCCGCTCCGCGGCATGTGGGATCTTCCCGGACGGGGGCACGAACCCGCGTCCCCTACATCGGCAGGCGGACTCTCAACCACTGCGCCACCAGGGAAGCCTATAGGCATTTCTTATAGCACCAGAAAGCCCCTATCACACCTAATGAATTTGTGATGTCACCAAATACTCAGTCCATAATAAAGTTTGCCAAAACATCTAAACCATGTTTTGTTGTTGCATTGCAATTGGTGTGTTCGGATCACGAATTCTAAATGAAAAATAAAATTAGTTGTCCAAGCAGGCATTCTGGGGACCAAAGCACCCAAGAATGTTTCCCAAGTTATCCAGTCACCAGGACCCCCTCCCACTTCAAGAATACACCTGCGTGGTGTTTCCCCTGCTTCCTCGCAGAGATGTTAAATCACTTAGTCTCACCTCTTCAGGGTCTCCAGAGGCTCCTTCCTGCTCATGACGCCCGTGTCCGGGTCCACCGTGGTTAAAATGCACCTGGACACACACACAGGGCATCATACACGGGACAAAGCAGACGATCTTCACCCTCCCCGCCGTCTCCTGGGCAGCAGTGTGTGCACCTCACCTGGAGCAAGCCATCACCCTTTTCAGTTCCACGTCACCAATACGAAGCTCATTCCATGAGTCCTGCAGACAAAGCACATAACTCATGTGAGCACTTCGGATCCCCAGCCCTGACCCACCCGTGTAGGGACTTCACGTGGTTCAACAGCTGATGAAGCCACTTCCATCGAAGATGGCCAACTGTACATCACGCCTCGCTGCTCCCTCCCTCTGCCTTTAATCTGTTGGTTCTTTCCCCTGAAGTGAAATGCTCCCTCTCCTCTCACTTGTAAAGCTGGAATTGAAACTCATCTCCTTCAGGAAGCCTCCCTGACTGACCCCACTTGACTGGAGGTGCTGTGGAAGGCCAGGGTGGGGCTGACGGAGGGAGCGGGTGAAAGAGAGGAGAGGGTATGGAGAGGGGGGATTACTCTAGGTTGTATCAGATCCCTTCATGCTGGCCAGAGGTGGATTAATGTCCTTAATCATTGTGTCTGTTTACCTTGTAGCTCCCCTGGCCAGATAGGAACAAATCCAGAGCAGGCCAGTAGCTTTACTTCCCTTTGCATCTCCACGGGAGCATTCACACAGCTCTCCAGCCCAGGAACCTCCTGGGGCGTTTGTCTACGGCCTGGGTCACTGGTGCTTACTTTTCAGGACAAATCGCATCAATGGACTGTGTCCCTCAGATCCAGAAGGGGAGATAGAACATACACACATGAAAAGTGAATGGTCAATATTCCTTTTAAAAGTTTCAGAAAAATTGAGGAAAACTTTACAAGACAGCACCCTGTGTGCTGGTTGAACTTTGCAGACCAGCGTGGAGCCGGTGGCTGGCTGGCTGCTCTGGGCAGGGGAGGTTTTAAGGTAAAGGTAGGATCTGAATTGAGTCTTCCAGGGTGGAGACTTTGAGAGGCACAAAAGAAGGGTGAGGGGACTCCAGGCAGTAACAAGAAGGAAGGACATTTGATTGTGGTCCTGACCTTCTTATGCTCACAGAGAAGGTGCCTGAGAGCCAAAGACAGGAATCCATGAGTTAAAACAAACCTGTCCAGTCCTTTGTTGATCACAAGCCAGAGAGAAAGTTCCAGGCCCAGAATTTTAACTCTGACAGTGTGTATTATTCTTGATATGTGTATTTCAGGGTTTTGTTTTTGTTTTTTTAATCATAAAATGAGTCTCTTCACTGCATGTTTCACAACAGTCCAAAAAGCTGGGCAACCCAGCCTGCTCTGTGTACATTTCTCCACCAGGAGGCACTGTGGTCACAAAAAAAACACAAAAGATCCGAAAGGAGAGAAATGAAGGTTCTGGTTAGGAAATTAATTTATTATTAATTAAAGAAATATTTACAGAACCCCTTTTATGGGCAATAAAAACTGTTGGGGATTGCGTCACAGGTAAATAAGTTAAAAATTCCACCATCAGGAAAGTATCTCTTTGGTAAACTGGCGGAAAAGGAGAAAACTATTTACATGTTGAATGCACACTACGGGCCCAGAACCGTATTAAACGTTAGAGAAGCGCCTATGAAAATCTTCCTCCAGAACATGTTATCTTGAGGTGATAAGAAATTGAAACAGGAGAAGCTGGATACGGTGAGGCACAGACACAGCACAGGGTGGCTTTGGAAAAGAGAAGCAGCTCTTCCAGGTCTGGCAATCAGAACAGATCTCTCAGGGGAGGTGGCTTTTCATCTGGGCTTTTAAAGAAGGCCAGGAGTTTCTAAGTGGGGCGAGAGGCAAGACTTGGGGTGAGCAGGAGATAAGAGAATACAGTCCTTATATAGTTCTCAGTCCAGTCTGTAGCTTGGAGCTTTTATGGAAGTAAAGGCTGGGAAAGCAAAGTGTGGCAAGATTATGGAGGGACCAGAATCGTAGAGTGGGCAGTTTGGGACTTTTGAGAACTGGGGAGCCACTGAAGGCTTTAAAGCAAGGCAGCCACACTGACTGTCACAAACTTTTAGAGGAGAAGAGATCACTCTGGTGCTGAGAGGCTCAGCTGTGACTACATCCAGGCCCGCTCAGCGGTCCAGACTCAAGACAACAAAGGTGATCTAGCTGGAGGCTGCAAACAGAAAGGGAGCAGATGGGGCTGGGGATGAGGGGAACATGGGAGAAGAAAGAGTCAGGGGTGACTTACAAGCTCTAAGCCAGGGTGAAAGAAGGAATACGGTTGCCAGGATAGAAGCTGTGAAGTGAAGAGAGGGAGTTTGCGGAGCTTATGAGGACAAGTTTGCTAGGTCCACAGAACATATGAAAACTCCCAGCAGACAGTCAGAAACGTGAGCCCAGCACTGCAAGGGGGAGTCCACGGTTGGATACTTGGGAAGGACCCACATAAGGGTGACAGATGGTGAAGCTGCAGGAGAGGGTGTCATTACCGAGGGAAGGTAGAGAAAGAGAAGGGTCGAGGCCAGAAATTTTGGAAGCCCCTACCTGAGTGAGGAGTAGGGGGAGGAGAAACAGCAAAGGCACAAGAGCAGTGCAGCCAGGGAGGGAAAGTTCCAGAAGCAGTACCTATCGGTCCAAGGGGAGGGCAATGATGACCAGGAAAAGGTCTCTGAAGGAGGGAGGGGAGAAGGGCAGCCTCGGGCTGAAGTGAAGGTCTGAGAAGTGAGGGTGAGGAGAGCAGATGATGGGTGTGAAGGGATGCAGAGAAGGACCACGATCACGAGAGGCAGGTTCTGAAATGAGGAGGGGGTTCGCTTCCCAGAAGCCTCCGCGCAGGTCCTCAGCCTCTGGCCAGTCTGCTTCGCCCACTGCACCTGGCACCACCTGCCCTAATCGTCTCCAGATCCCTGCCGCAGGCAGATGCGCACAGTGCAAGTTGGTTTTTGCCACTCCCTTGCCTAAAATCCTTTCCAGACCCTTCCTCCGAAAGCGACACCCCTTGACACCAAGGACCTTGGCTCTCAACGCCCCTCCCTGAGCACCGATGCTGTAAAAGACAGCAGTTATCTCCGTGCCAGCGCAGCCCTGCTCGTGTGCCCCCTCCCTCGGTGTTTCTTCCTTCTGCGTCACCTGGCCAACCTAGGCTCATTCATTCACTTAGCAAAGAATTCACGCTGGGTGTTTTTCTAGGAGCTGGGAGAACAACAATGGTCAAGTTCTGTCCTCAGAAAGCATGTGTAGGGGAAACAGACAACAAAATCCCCCAGTAAACACGGTGTATCAGGTGGGGACGTGTGCCGGGGGGGACTAGGGCATGCAGGCCAAGCAGGGTACACGGTGATCAGGGAAGGCCTCACTGAAGGGGAGGGAAGACCTCAACAGGGAAGTGAAAGAGGTAAGGGAGTGAACCATGCAGATACCTGAGGGAGGACATGCCAGACAGAGGCACCAGTAAGAGCAAAGGTCCCGGGGAAGGAAGCCGCAGAGAGACAAAGAAGGGAAGAGTGACAGGAAGTAAAGCTCTGGACCTAGGAGGGTGTGGCATCACACGGGGCCTTGACAGCAATGATAAGGATCCCATTTTTGACTTGAAGAGAGATGGAGAACACAGACAGAGTTTTGAGTAGAAGGAAGACATGATGTGAGTTACATTTACAGATGACTTTGACCTTAGCTGTGATGAGAATAGACCTTGTATGGTGGTGGGGGTCAGTCAAGGATAGACCAGTGAAGAGAGGCTATTGCAACAAACCACAGGAGAGACGGTGGTGACTTGGCCCAGAGAGGAAGTGGAGGAGCATGGCAAGAGGACAGAGCCACCGAGATTTGTTGACTATTTGAATGTGAGAGGTGAAGGAAGAGAAGAACACAGAGTGGTTCCCACTTTGGGGCCTGAGCAGCTAGAAGGCAGAGCCGCCATACACTGAGATGTGCAAGGCTGGGCAGAGCAGACTTGGGAGTGGAAATTCAGCCCTCAGTGTTGGACATCCTGAATCTGAGACGAGATACCCCAGTGGAAATACAGAGAAGGCAGAGGGAGAGTTCTGGTGTAAAGATGTTAGTCAAGGGGTCCTCAGTGTGGAGAAGGTTTTGAAAAACACAGACCAGGGCATGAGTAGAGACAGAGATTGCTACAGACTGAGGGTTTGTGTCCTCCCAACCTTCATATGTTGAAACCTAATCCCCAGTGTGGTGGTATTTGGAGAAGGGGGCCTTTGGGAGGTGATGAGGTCATGGGGGTGGTACCCGTGTGAATGGAATTAGTGTCCTTATAAAAGGGGCTCCAGGGGACTTCCCTGGTGGTCCAGTGGTTAATACTTTGCCTTGCAATGCAGGGGGTATGGTTTCGATCCCTGGTCAGGGAGCTAAGATCCCACATGCCTCGCAGCCAAAAAACCAAAACATAAAACAGAAGCAATATTGTAACAGATTCAATAAAGACTTTTTAAATGGTCCACATCAAAAAAAATCTTAAAAGAAAAAAAAACGGGACTCCAGGCAGCTCCCTTGTCCCTTCCACCACATGAGGTCACAGAGTGAAGACAGCCGTCTACGAACCAGGAAGCAAGTCCTCACCAGACACGTGCACAAATCTGCAGGTGCCTTGATCTTGGACTTTCCAGCCTCCAGAACTGTGAGAAATAAATTTCCATTCTTTATGAGCCTGAGCCCATACTGCCCAGTCGCCCCCCTCTCCTGTCTGTGTTAAAAAAGTGGGGTGGCCGGTCACCTATAACCCTCAGCTCACCACCTTCCTGGCCTGTCTTACCTGGCTGTAACTACCTGTTCACATTCTAATCACCTGGACTGTGAACTCCTTCTGAGAAGCTCCTAGACCGGTTTTCCTACAGGTCTATTCACAGGTCTATTCATAGTACACAGGGGCACTAACCCATTGTGTGATGCGTGAAACATTATTCCAATAAATGAGGCTAGCCCAGCTGAAGCGTTGTATTAACATCCAACTTAAAATATGAAAGAATCCCAATTAGGGAACACTCAGAATCAGAGAGAAAGCCTTCTAGGACAAGAGTCAGTTCAAAGAAACCTCCTGAATCTGGGGTCCTACTCTGGGCCGTCCCCTCTTAACTTATCCCATCTTCATCTGCCCATCTCAGACGGCGGGGTAGGAAATGTCTTCCATGTGAACCGTGATACAAAGACCAAAGCCAGGAAGGGAGGAAGCTTAAAGGGGGCCACAGTCAGGGAGGGATCGATGGCCTGCACCAAGCTTCTTTACTTTGATTATAGCAATGAAACCACTGCCCACCTCTCTGGGCACTTTCTACATCCTGGTGCTTTTGGGGGAGGCGTCAGCTGAAATTACTCACAGTTGATAAACGCAAGAAGCAGAGGTCTCAGAAAGTTCCAGGACTTATCCAGGGTCAGACGGCCACTTATTGAAGCAGGGGGATTCAGATCCAGGTGTCCTGACCCCACGCCCGGCCCCTAGAATGCCCAGAGCTCCTGTGGGCTGTGGTACAGTCTGGGTTCTTGCCGTGGGGCAGCCCTCGGCTGAGCCATCTCAGGTTGAAGGTGGCACTGGAAGAGTTTTAGGGCAGTGCCGTCTCAGCTTGGGGACAGCATCCACCCACAGCAGCCCTGCTGTAAATGACTGTCTTCCCAAGGGAGCCCTCGACTACACAGGAAGGCCACCTTCCACATCCTGCTCTGTGGCCCACACAGATCATGTATTCTATGCTAAGTACACTTGGCTCAAAATGAACCTGCCTGCTTGGAATTCTCCTTAGAAGTCTCAGACCCTGAGCTGCCCCTTGACGCCAGCATCTCTGCCTCATTTATATTTGTATCCTCCACACAGAAGTCTGTACTGATCAGATGCTCAAGAAATTGCAAACTTGAATCATTGCATAATACGGAGCCAATGCAGAATGCATCCTTCTGAATAATTTAATCCAACATCAGAGACTCTCATACCTTTAAAAAAAAAAAAGTTAAATCCAAGGAAAGGGGCAAGAAAGGTATAGCGTTACCTCTGCATAGACACCACACCCTGAAATTATGATATTGGGCCGGAAGTTAGTTGCCTTAACTTTCTTCTCTAGCCTGGAGTTGAGGTCTGCCAACGATGCCTCAGAAAGGATCAGGAAGGGGCTGGCGTCTGAGTACGGGATCTGATGACAAAATAGGAGCTGTTATGGCGTGAGGCACACAGAGGCATTTCTCAGAGGTCACATGGGTCTGATTCCTGGAACCTTCCACCCCTCCCCCGCCCCACCTCCCCACACAATCTTTCTAAGTATTTCTCTAGTTCTATTTACAGAAAAGTCACAGCGATTCAGAAGCTTTAAATAGCCTTGCAGATACCAGGAATTACATGATGGAGTGAAGAGAACATGGTCTCAGAATCTTAGCGCTGTCCCTTTCTCATCCTCCAAACTCTCACACGTTTATTTTGTTAAGGTTTGATGGCCTCATTTGGTATGATCAGAAGTATTCACTTATTCCACAGATACTTATTTTTCACACAACCTGCAAATCAACGTTCAGCATGGCCGTGGCAATGGCGCTACATAGCATTGTATGTTTTACTCTCATGATGAATTCTTACAGCCTTATTTCTTTAAGGGCCAGTCTGGTCATTTTAAATCTGTGGATCTCCACACCCAAACTCATCGGCCCAACTGTGAGCTGCCACACCCTTGCAATCACAGTGTAAAGAGGTTGGGCTCCACATGCGATTACAGAATGGAGTGGGAAAGATACTGACCTAGAACAGTTTTGAAGCTGCGTTGCCACCGGAAGGTTCTGTGAATAGGAATTTTTGCTCTCAGGCAAAAATGCAAGGGTCCCGTAAATCAAGAAACACAGACGCTGCTCCTAGTGGAAGAGCCTTACTTTGTGGAATTGCTTGTGACAAAAGTAATGGCAAAGTGACAGAGCCGAGCTCAGCAGACATGCCGCCCTGCTCTCCCCCATCCAAGGAAGCCTGTCTTCTATAGGACACACCAAAGGCCAAAGCCAAGGGATGCTCCTCTGACCTGGTCTGTGGGTCGAAACGGGTCTTCGATCTGGTGAGAATTTCTTGGTTGCATGTGAGGTTCAAAGTGCACCAGGCGGTACGGCTGCGTCTTCAGGAAGTTTGTTATCCAATGGGCCGCGGCCTCACCGCAGTCCCTGCCCTCGATCTCCAGGCCCTGCACTCTGCAGGGGTTGGGGGCAAAGAACAGGCATTTGTAGATCTGGACACCCTACCATGTCCTACACATATCCAAAAGGCTGCACCAGGCTATGATGTCGCTGTAAGTCCTTCATTATCAGGAGACGTCATTTTAGCCTGGCCCTGCCTCTGAACCATGTGGAAGCCCAAAATGAAGATGCAGTTTCAAGCCTTGTTCCCCGCCCCCCCCTTTTTTTTTGAAGTATAGTTGATTTACAATATTGTGTTCGTTTCGGGTATATAGCATAGCGATTCAGTACTTTTGCAGATTATATTCCAAGTTATATAATAAGATATTGGATATAATTCCCTCTGCTCTACAGTAAATCCTTGTTTCTCATCTACTTGATAAACATAACAGATTTCTGTATATTAATATTGTATCCTGCAACCTTGCTGAATTCAGTTATTAGTTCTAATAGTTTGGGAAAGGAAACCTGAGTCCCAAGGGCTCTTGGCATCTTTACCCTAATCTAAGCTTTCTGATTCTGCAATTTCCAAACGTGACCTTGTGTAGTCTTTGGGGCATGGACCAAAAGCCTGTATGGGACCATGAAAAAAGTTTCCACATAATTCCGAGTGAACCAGTAATTAAATTTTAAAAATTTTAACCACAAGAAAGTATGGGTACATATCCAACTGTAATAGGGGCCAGGCATGCTCAGCGGGCCGGGCCAGCAGGTTTGAGTAGCAGCCCGCGGTCAGCCTGACGCTACGTCCCGTCACTGCCACTCCTTCCCCAGGAGCCAGCAGGCGGGCCGTGGAAGGCCTGAGGCCCTGGTGCTCCTGGCAGTGAGGCCTGCAGGTGCCACACTCGTGAAATAGGGACAGAGCGGGCGTGCAGCTGTTAGCGCCCGGCCTCGGGGATGGGGGCTGACACTGAGCGGTCCTGGGGCAGGGAGTGTGATGGGAGGCGGAGGGCTCCTTTTCCCCGGAGCCCTCCAAGCCCTAGAGCCTCCGGGTGGGTGAGCTGAGGGCACAGGGGACAGGCTGAGGGCTGTGTCCTGCAGAGCTCCAGAGCCCTCGCCACGGCCCCCCACCGTCAGGGCCAGGCTTGGACCTAAGGGTCGCAGCCGTCTCCATGGAGGCCTCAGCAACTGGAGTATATGGACACTGCCATTAAGGTAAAAGCTTCTACCGGCTTCAGTCTCTCCCGTTCACGTTTTTGATTGGTATTTGTTAACGTTTGTTTTGGTGGAGGTTTATAGGAACATCATGACCTGACCGTGACCTGACCTCAAGACCAAAGGATGTGACCCCAAGAAGTTTGCAACAACTAACCACGCCCTCCCTCACCTCTCCTAAAGGGGCTTTGCTGAAAGCTTTCAGAGAGTCTAGGGCTTTTTAAGGCATAAGCCACCCGTCTCCTTGCATGGCCCTGCAGGTAAAGCTTTTTCTGCTCCAAACTCCGACGTTTTGGTATCGCTTGGCCTCACTGTGCATCGGGCACACAGACTTGCGTTTGGTAACATAACCGCGGCAGACAAACAGGAACCAGAATATGGAGAAACGTGAAATACAAATTACAATAGGCCTATTAAAAAGTTTGCCTCAGACAATGATGAATGCAAATTAAATCAATAAGAAATGACCGTTTTTAACACAAAAACGGCAAAATACTTGAGAACATAATGGTCAGAATGAGAAGAAACAGATATGCTTATAAACTGCTGGTGAATATATAGCCGGTATAACCATTCTGCAAAGCAATTGAGCAACATATATCAAAAGTCTACAGGAGCCATACTCTTATCGCTGGCAAAACCACTGCTAAAATTTTTTTCCCTAAGGAAATAATAAGAGATATGAACAGAGATTTATGCCAAGTTACCCATCACATTCTTCCTCATACCTGGAAAAAACTGAAAACGATCCAAATAAACATGGGTTGTGCTAAAATGCATTCGAGGACACCCACGTTTTTAACAATCTGAAAAAATACTCAACGTCCCCTTAAGTATATAAACCACATTCAAGATTGGTACTATTTCAATTTGGTTTTTAAAGTGTTAGCCATAGAGACAGAAAGAAAATATGTCAAAATATGAATCATAGTTATCTCTGATGGGTTTTGTTTTCTTCCCTTTTTTGGTATTTTCCAATTTCTCAACAATGAATATGTATTTTATAATCAGAAAAACCATCAAATTAAAATGAAAACATATTATTATGTTTAAAATTCGGATATTACAGAAATCATATTAGTTCTGCATTTTACAAACTTTTGGGGGTCTTTAGACATTTTTCAAGTAACTACATTTTTTGATGTGATGTGATTTTCTATGATAGGCTGTGGACTAATTAAGCATTCACGTGGCATTTTCATTCAAAATGCAGAAACTGTAACAAGAGTATAATTAGACCCTATTTTAACTTTCTCATAATACGATTAAAAAAATGAACTCTAGGCATGATTTCTTAAAAGCAGAGCTAGTTTCCTGGAATAATTGCTCCCTTGAGGGCCTTCTGATGTTGAGGAAAGACACTCTGTACAGAGCAGTCTCCTGGCTGAATCTCCACACTCACGATTACAGGGAACCCTGGGCATCTGCAGGTCAGAACACTCTTCTGGTTGCAGCAGGTTTTTTCTATTTTGGAACTTCCTTTCATTAGAGCTAAATATCACGGGTCATAGAGCCATTGGCAACTCCCGCCATAACTCAGCTTTGGAAGATTCCCAGTCTTTCCAGGCAACACAGAGATGATCCTAGGGTAATACACTGATCTAACCTCACCTCTTCCAGGACCCTCTCCCCACTCACTCCAACCCCATTTTTGTCCTTTATCCTCTGGTGGTGTTATTTTTCTCTTGCTGACATGTCAATATGCTTTTGATCCCATAGTTTTCTACATAAGTCTTTTATGTTTCTCTGCCCCACATCAACACACATTTCTGAAGCTGCTCCCCTTTTCCACCTTCTTTTAGATCATCACGATGTGGAGGACTTGACCCTACATATGGTACATTTGCAGTCAGTGGTTAATTATTGACAGTGTTTCTCCAGATTTCCGCCACATTTCCCATTTTCCCAAAACTGCAGGAATAAATGCTCACGCAAGGATTAAGAGCTATCCTTTCCTTACCTGCACTTGTGCACTGCATTTGTGGTGGGTGTCTTGATGGGCAGCCGCAGGTCCTTCGTGTAGGCTGCACTGAGGGTCAGGGTGTCACCCTCACAGGTCAGGGAAATCAGGACCAGGCGGGGTTCCTGTCGAGCAGTAACCATATTCCCCTCCTTGTTGATTACAAGCCAAAACCTGCCATTTTCAGAACACAAGTTATGCATGGCCCACCATGACAGGCAGTCAGTCTCTGGGGGAGTTTCAGTGATGCACTGTCATCTTTGATTTCCTAAACATCAGCTCATCAGCCCAGCAAGACTGAATCTGTCAGTTAATTTCAAAGTGTTTAATAATCACTTGTGCGTCGGACAAAATATCTGCAGAATATTTTGAGCTCCTTGATGGAACAGAAATCAAAGAAGCTAATTATACGTCCATCTCAATTGCCAGAAAGTCTGGTCACTTTCATAAACATGCCCTAAGGAGATGATAGGAATCTATCTCGGAGAAAGACGAGGAGGCATGGTGCCTGGCACAAGGAGGCATTCCTGCTGGTGGAAATAACAAGATGTTGCTGTATTGTTCTCAGAGGGTGGAGTCCAGCTGAACAGCAAACAATGCCACTTACACTTTGCCAAATCCACCCGCAACTTAAAAAAAAAATGAACGTTTCAGTATTCAGAGCTGTGACTCCTACAATTTGCCAAAAGGCCTATTGTTAATATGGACAATATTTTTTGGCCCGGTACTCAAGGTCTAGAGGTACTTCCCAAAACAAAGATAAATGGAGAAATAAAAGCAATAGAAAGGACTGTTTCCAGTAAAAAAAAAATGATGGGTTTGTATAGGGGACCTTTCAGCTACTGAGGAAGCTAAACTGACATGTCGGTCATTTCCATTCACACTGAATGGAATGATTACAATGATAGGAGTGACCTTGTGCTTTGGGAATCCAGAGACATAAGAAAAAAATATAGCAGATACTTTAGATCATCACCTCCGGCGGGTCATCGTGGTTGAGTTGTTCAGCTATGCTAGAAAAATAAAGTTAGTGTAAGCCCTTTCCCAAAGGAATTCCCTCTGACCAACCCTTCATCCTGGATACAGGATGTCCCATATCCTTGGTACTAGCACATGAATATTCTTTCTGCTAATCCTTCCTAGTAATAATGGTAGTCTGATATTTCTAAAATACACATCTGATCATGTCACCCCCTTCTGCAAACCGCAAGCCACCACCGCCGCCCTGTGGTTCCTGCTTTCAGAATAAAACTCTAACTCTTCAGCAAGGCAGGCAAGACCCTTCATCATCCAGCTACCCTCCCAGCCAGTCTTACCACCTGTGCCCTCACACATGTCAGCCTTTCTTTTTCTTTTTAATTTTTTTAGTGAGGTAAGATATACACAACATAAAATACTTGGCATACTCTTAGGTACACACCCAGAAGAACTGAAAGCAGGGACTCCAACAGATACTTGGGCGCCAATATTCACAGCAACCTTCTGCACGATGCCGAAAAGTAGAAACAACCCAAATTTCCAACAACAGAGAATGGACGTGAAAAAAATATGACTTTAACCATTTTTAAGTGCACAATTCAGTGGCATTAAATACTTTCATAGTGTTTTGCAACCATCACCACTATGTGTTTCCAAAACATTTTCGTCATCACAAACAGAAACTCTGAACCCATGAAGCAATAATTATCCATTCCATTCCCCTCTCTCCCCAGCCCCTGGCAACCTCTAATCTGCTTTCTATCTCTATGAATTTGCCTGTTCTAGGTATTTCATGTAATTGGAACTATATAATGTTTGTCCTTTTGTGTCTGGCTTATTCCACTTAACATTTTCAAGATTTGTCTGTGCTGTAGCATGTATTAGAACTTCTTTTTGTGGGTGAATAATATTCCAAAGTGTGTATATACCACATTTTCAGTTCCAGCTATGAAGTCCTTCCTGACCACCCCAGTTTCTCTTGTTCCTTCCTCTGTGCTCCCTGGCACTTGTCACATTGAGTCAATTACCACCTAGGACTGCAAGCTTTTGTTCGCTTCTCTCCATCACACGTTTTGATAGTATGATGACAAAAACAGCTCACCATTCCACCGTGTCACGAATTGCCCTCTGTCTGGGGAACTGGAAGGGGGAAAAGTTACAACCCTCATCAGTCCTGTGTATTACCTACAGAAACTGAGGGCTGGTCTGGGAGGGAGTCTGAAGTGCAGCCTTACACTGAGGCCGAGGCCAGACCCAGAATAGGACAAAGCTGCTTGCTCTGGGCCTTTGAGATCTTCGCAGAACCCCGGGAATTCACACAGGTCGAGACTACCCAGGTAGGGCATGAATTAAAACCCTATTTACAAAGCACCAGTGTGCTAAAGAAAACAAGAGTCCCGATGCCACTGCTGTGTGGCTCTGAACCTCAGTTTCTTGATCCATAAAAGGGTGCATGAGAGAATTAGGGAAAATAAAGTATGTAATAGCACTTTTTAAGCTGCAAGAATCTGAAACTTTAATCGTTATTACGATTATGTGCTCCACCTTGGTGAGCTCTTAGAGGGTTTGCATCCGTGGCTCCAACTTTCCCCAAGTTCTCAAGAGACAGTAAAAGTAAAGTGGCAGGGACCAATCCTGTGAAGCTCGCCCCTTCCGCTAGACGGAGTTGAGTCAGTTTGCTTGCGCACCTGCTGACACCTGGGGACCTCCTCTGGGGCGCAAGCCATCGCAGGAAGGCAGATCGGGACCCTGGGTCTGCGGTTGGGAGGTGACGGCCCCCTTTCCTCTTCTTCCTTGCCGCTCCCCCGACCCCAGCCAGCTCCCACTTTCTTTGTAAGGGAAGGACTCCGCAGGCCTCCCCCGCTCCCGGGCTCAGCCCTACCTGTCCCGCAGGTGACCGCTGCGCAGCCCCAGGGCCGTGCACTCCGCCGCCTTCACCGACACCCCCTTGCAGGACTTGACGGGGTAGATCCAGAGCTCTGCCACGGTGCCCACCTGCTGCAGCTGCCGGCGCCGCCTGGGCCGCGCGCGGCGCCAGGCCACGGCCCCCAGCGCCACCGCGGCCAGTCCCAGCGCGGCGACCCCGAGCCAGCGGGGCCGGGGCTGCGGCGCGGGGAGGCCCAGGCGGGCCAGCGCGGAAGAGCCGGCGGCGCCCATGACCCAGCGATCGCGGGCGCGCCGGGGACTCCAGCGGGGCCCACACGAGACGCCAAGCAAGCCAGGCAGGAGCGCGGCCGCCGCCGAGGGCTGCTGGCGGAGGTGCCGCCCTTAACCGGGAGCCCAAGGGGAAGGCGGTTCCTGAGTCTCTTTCCTGCCGGAGTACCGTGTCCTGCTCCTGAGGTTGGCCCTTGGGGCGCTGCGGGCGGGAGGTGGTGTCTCGGCTGCTACGCGGTCTACTGCCCACCGCCGCCTCCACTTCCGCCGCCTGCTGGCCACTCGGCGACGTGCCCTCCCCCGGGATCGCTACAAGTGACCAGTTTACTTATTTACGTATTTGTGGCATTGACTTAAAAAAATGCACAAGGTGAAAGTTGCAAGTTAAGTTTTATTTGGAGCAAAATGAGGACTGCAGCCCGGGAGACAGAGGTTCAGATAACTCTGGAAACTGCTCAGAGGAGGCGAGGGGGCAGCCAAGGATACATAGCTGTTTGGCAACAAAGGGCAGGTAGTGTGGAATGTCATAAGACTATTGTTAATTAAAGAAAACCGGTTATCTCAAGTTAAGGAATTTACCCCTTTTCTATGTATGGGCAGATGCAGGAGACCAGGCTCACTGAAATCATTCCTTTGATATGCACCTCAGCTATCTGGGCCAGGATCCTGTATTTTTACATCCTGAGTTCCCTAGGGCTCACGGCAGGGAGTGACTGCAGTCTGATGGCTGCTAGATGGCAGGGATCCTCTTCAGCCCTGAGTTTCCTCAGGGCTCACAGGTTCACGTTGGAGAGTTGCAATCGTTGATGACTGTGACATCCTTTGTTTATTGATATGGCAGGAAATATGCCATTTATAAATATTCCATACCTTTTATAAATATTCCATTTATCAGTGGGTCGTTTATTTAACCTAAAATAAACAAAAAATGTTTGCAGGGGAAAACATAATTTTGAAATTAGAAATCAGGCAGCGGGCAGATCCCTTTCCTGGAGATAGGAGCGGGCGGGCACCATGTGGCCTTCCCAGTGTCCAGCTGCCTTAGAAAACCCTAAAGATTCCACACAGAAAAAAAAACAAAACTGTTATAATTAATAAATGAATTCAGTTAAGTTGCAGGTCACGAACTCAATATACAAAAATCAGTTGCATATCTATACACTAACAATGAACTATCAGAGAAATGAAGAAAACAATCCTATTTATAACTTACCAAAAAGAGTAAAATACCTAGAAGTTAATTTAACCAAAGAGGTGAAAGATTTGTACTTTGAAAACTAAAACACTTTGAAGAAGACACAAATAAATGGAAAGATGGTCTGTGCTCATGGATCGGAAGAATTAATATTGTTAAAATAACCACACTACCTAAAGCAATCTGCAGATTCAATGGAATTCCTAACAAAATTCCAATGGCATTTTTCACAGAAATAGAAAAAACAATCCTAAAATTTGCATGGAGCCACAATAGACCCCGAAGAACCAAAGCAATCTTGAGAAAGAAGAACAAACCTGGACACATCACACTTCCTGATTTCAAACTATATTACAAAGCTATAGTAATTAATATAGTATAGAGATGGCATAAAAACAGACACATAGATCAATGGAATTGCTCAACTGAGAGCCCAGAAATAAACTTACACATATCTGGTCAATTAATTTCAACAAAGGAGCCAAGTATAAACAATGCGGAATGGATAGGATAGTCTTTTCAATAAATTGTGTTAGGAAAAGTATGAAACTGAAACTTCTCTTTCAAAATACATAAGTGGGATTACATCAAACTAAAAAGCTTCTGTGCAGCAAAGGAAACCATTAACAAAATGAAAAGGCAACCCATATAATGAGGGAAAATATTTTCAAATCATATATCTGATGAGGGGTTAATATTCAAGATATATAAAGAACACATACAACTCAACAGCAAAAAGAAAAAAGCCAATTTTTTAAATGGGCAGAGGAACTAAATAGACATTTTTTCAAAGAAGACATACAGATGGCCAACAGGTACATGAAAAGATGCTCAACATCACTAATCATCAGGGAAATGCAAATCAAACCACAATGAGATATCACTTACACCTGTTAAAGAGGCTATGCTTGTAAAAGCAAGAGATAAGTTTTGGGGAGAAAGTGAAGGAAAGGGAACCCTTGCACACTGTTGGTGAGAACATAAATTGGTGCAGCCACTTCAGAAAAGATATGGAAGTTCCTAAAACTTTTTTAAATAGAACTACCAAATGACCCAGCAATTCCACTTCTGGGTATACATCCGAAAGAAACAAAATCACTATCGTGAAAAGACACCTACACCCCCAGGTTCACTGCAGCATTATTTACAATCACTAAGACATGTAAACAACCTAAGTGTCCATAGACTGACGAATGGAGAAAGAAGTTGTGGTATATATATACACAATGGGATATTATTCAAGCATAAAAAAAAGGAAATCCTGCCATTTGTGACAATCTGGACGGACTTCGAATGCATTATACTAAGTGAAATATGTCAGACAGAGAAAGACAAATACAGTATGATTTCACTTATAATTGGAATCTAAAAAACCAAGCTCATAGATACGGAGAACAGATTGGTGGTTACCAGACATAGGGGTGGGATGTGCAAAATGGGTGAAGGTGGTCAATAAGTACAAACTTCCAGTTATAAGAAAAATAAGTCCTGGGGATGTAATGTACAGCATGGTGATTATACATATCAATACTGTATTGTATATTTAAAAATTGCTAAGATATTAGATCTTAAAAGTTCTCATCACAAGAAAAACTATTGTAACTATATGAGGTGATGGATGTTCACTAAACTTATTCTGACTTCATGAATACACACACATATCATTTCATTTATATATACAAATATCATTTCGTTTATATGTATACATATCAAATCACTACATTGTGCCCCTTAAACTAATACAATGTTATATGTCAATTAGAAAAAGAAAACGATTTTAACAGAGGTCATTACAATAGGGCTCAACTCTGAATACAGCAAAGACATCTGGGGATCTATAGCCAAGGAGCACAGGGAGGGAGGGAGTGGCTGAAAAATTACTAAGTGGAGACATCAAAGGTAGGGATTCTCTCGAAAACTGGGCTTAGCAGGATTCTTGTTAAAACTGAGCTAGGCAGGTCTGACAAGGCGATAGACAAGGTGGAAGCCCAGTCGAGAAGAGGGCTCAGAGGTGTTTGAGTAAGGTTTGGCCAAGGAGAGAGCTGCTCTCAGGCTCAGCTCAGCACACGGGCCAGGATGGTACAAGACCTCATCAAAATCATCCATGCAGATAGAGGGTGTCTCACATCACAGAAGGGTCAATTTCCAAAGGACAGTAAATCCTCTTTCCCCAGATGGCAACACACCTCAGGGCCTTTCAGTACTGAGCAAAGATCTGTCCTTGGACATTGTTCCCCACCATAAATATTTAGGCCTAAACAGAGTATATCTGTCCTACCTTTTCTCCTCCCGCCCCAGGTACGCCCTCCCTGCCCACTCCTGTGAAATCCAGGAACTGAGTTCAGAGTACAGAGCTCAGTGCTGCTTCAGTCGTTAGGGCTCTTCAGTGATCTGGCCTCTTCCAGGAATGAGCTGGAGGAAGAAGGGGCTTGCATGAATCTAGCTTCCCCAGAAGAAAGGTTGACTGGTGGTGATGTGCACCATGGTGGGGGCGGGCAGAGGGGAAGCAGTGGCGGGGCGGTGGGTTGGGGGCACAGAGTGAACAGCAACGCAGCACAGAACAGCCAGGACTTGAGCTCCACGTGCTCCACAGAAAGGGCAGCTCAGGGGCACTAAATTTTGTTTACTTCTGTTTACTTCCCTCCCTAATTTCTCTTCGGAAATTTAACAGGAAAAAAGTTGCTTCTCTACTTTAACGGTTGACTTTAAAGTGAGCATGATTTTTCAATTTCATCATTTCCAAACTTCACCCAGGGATATAGCTAAGTGAACACTTTTACCTCACAGGGTACTGGGAGTGGAGGTGAATTTCAGGCCCAGAACCCAGCGAAGGAGAGTGGAGAAGGAAGGAACAGCTGCTCTTCACAGGGCACCAGGCGGTCCCCGGGCAGTCACTGGCCATCACACCTCAGACGGGCTATCTGTGTAGCTTATGATGGCCCTACCCCACCAATGACAGGAGGTAACATCTGTGGAGTCCGACTGCACCTCTGCTAGTCTATCAGAAAGGGTAAAGAACAACGAATGACAGTGACTGAAGCTTTAATACAAAATGAGAAAAGCCCTGGAAGCAGACTCAGAAATAACCAAAGAAAAAGTACAATTGAGAATCACATTTATTAATATGAAAGAAACCACAAAATTGTGAGTTCATTCATTCTCGTATTACATCAGTGAGAATTCTTGCTCTAGTCATACCAAAATAGTTCAAAAATCACTGGCATCTAATAGAATAGTTTCATGATTCCATCCTCCTACTCTCAAAATTCCATTCTCTTCCAATCCCATTCTCTTCTTTATCGTACTTAGAATTCATACTTGGTGTATCTGTCAGTTACAGTTACTTTTACCTGGCTTAATAGAGGCATAATCAAACATAGAAGCAAAGTCTACAGAATAATTTCCATTCTCAAATAAAACCCGATTCCATAATGGTGGGGTCAAAACCACACAAGCAAAAAGTCAACAGGACTCAATAGCGATGTAAAAACCAACCAATAAGAATCTGTGTGTTAACATGTCATTAATAGGAATTTGTACGTTAACATGTAAAGGCATATCAGGAAACCTGATGTTTCCCATGTCTCCTAAAACACAGAATGATAGGTAATAAAATATAAACATTCAAAAACATTGTGTAGCTTTTTAGCTGATTCTTTAAACGTTTTTTTACATTTTTTTATATTATTTTCCATTATGGTTCATCACAGGATATTGAATACAATTCCTTATGCTATACGTTAAGACCTTGTTTATCCATTCTAAATGTAACAGTTTGTATCTACCAACCCCAAACTCCCAGTCCATCCCTCTCCCTCCCTGCTCCCCCTTGGCAACCATAAGTCTGTTCTCTATGTCTATGAGTCTGCTTCTGTTTTATAGATAGGTTCATTTGTGCCGTATTTTAGATTCCACATATAAGTGATATCATATGGTATTTATCTCTTTCTGACTTATTTCACTTCGTATGATGATCTCTATTTGCATCCATGTTGCTGCAAATGGCATTATTTTGTCCTTTAGACTTTCTTTATTCAACAATATTAATGTCAGGGATTGCAGAAGTGCCGTAGCTACCATAACATTAATTTTATCGGCAATTTTATTTATTTTAAAAGTCTTCATTATCTAAAATCTACATATGTTATTACTCCCAAATCACCTCTCATACTTTCCTTGCATTAACTCAGAGCATCCGTTAACTCCAAAAAGAGATTCATTTCTACGATGAAGATGGTCACAGGATGGGTAATAAGAATTTGCCCAGGTGGTGCTGCTGTGTTCATTAAAATCCTGATCAGTGCCTCCGGGATGCTGAAACCTGAAAAAATTGTAAGAATCCCTACTTATCTGGCTGTTTCTCTTACCAGTCATAAATAGTTCAAACATGCACAAACCAGTCACTTATGAGGTTAAAATGTGCAAAATATAAACTATGTCCTGTACCAAATTACCTCGGCAAAGGCCAGAGCCAGGGATCTCTCTCTCATATGACAGGTTGGGGTGCAGATGAGAAGAACCCTTTGGAAAGCAATTGGTCAAGATACTAAAAAATATGCCTACACCCCACGAGGCAATAATTCCACCTTTAGAAACCTAACTTATAGAAAAACAATTTTAAAATGAATATTATTGATAAGAAAATTGGATATAGTTCGAGTGTCAAATACTGTAAAATGGTGTTTAAACGGTGCCACGTAATGTTATGAAGCCATCAAAAATGACATTTTAGGACTTCCCTGGTGGCGCAGTGGTTGAGAATCTGCCTGTCAATGCAGGGGACACGGGTTCGAGCCCTGGTCCGGGAAGATCCCACATGTCGCAGAGCAACTAAGCCCGTGCACCGTAACTACTTAGCCTGCGCTCTAGAGCCCGCAAGCCAAAACTACCGAGCCCACGTGCTGCAACTACTGAAGCCCGCACACCTAGAGCCCGTGCTCCGCAACAAGGGAAGCCACCACAGTGAGAAGCCCGCGCACCACAAAGAAGAGTAGCCCCCTCTCGCCGCAACTAGAGAAAGCCCACGCGCAGCAATGAAGACCCAACGCAGCCAAATAAATAAATAAATTTTTTTAAATGACGTTTTAATAGGTTGGAGGACTATGAAAGTGCTTATGATACCTAGTTTGTAATTCATAGATACATATTCATAAGCTCGTAGTTCATAGATATACATACATGTGTGCGTACATATATCATATGATATGTGGGCAGGGAATGTTGCCTGCCCTTCCAGTAAACAAAAAATGTTGCCCACCATTCTGGTTCTACGAGGATCAAGCCATCAGCAACTGCAGAAGCCCAAGGAAGGTGTGCCCTGAGGAGAATTCAGGATGGAGAAAAACAGAAAGCATTCCGTGCTTTGAATACTGGCCCTGGATCATTAAGGTGCATAACTAAGGAATAATTTCAATGAGCCCAGACTCTTGCACCTTCCCATAGGCAGAAAAGCACTAAAATCATTAACTTGAGATGTCTACTCTTTGTGATTAGCAGTCATCTTTTGAAGTTCGACTACATTTTTTTTTTCCCCAGCAAAACACTCATATATATCCTGGCTTCTCCATTATCTCTTCAGAGCAGTTCCTCAGAGCTAGCTCAGAGGCTGTCTCCCAGGCTATATCCTCAGTAAAATCCCCCAATAAGACTTAACTCACAACTTTTACGTTGTGTATTTTTCTTCAGTCGACAGATACATATTTGTATATATATAAATTATATATAATATATATCTGCATTATATATGATATATAATCATACAGATCATGATATAATATAGATCATGGCTACCTTAAACAGACAAAAAACAAACCAAAATAAAATTTACAAATGGTAACAAGGGGTGGTTTTTTCTTCTACATTTCTGGTGTCTTCTAAATTTGCTGTGATGAACATGAATTGCATTTATAATGGAACAGATAAACTTTTGTATAATTATATTTTAAATTGATTTAAAAAAACAACTCAAGTAACCCTGGTGCAAGTATTAACAGCTATTTTTCTTAATGGCTTTAACCAACCTGTTGGGTAAAGGAGACCCTCCGGAATCAGAAACTACAGTAGGCTCACAATCAAAGTAGGGGAGCAACGCTGTTATTTCTAAAGCCCAACAGAAATGCCCACCAGAGAGGAAACCTCTCGGTGCCCTGGGGGGTGGACAGCAGGGATGACCATGTTCCCCTGATGGGACTCTGAAGGGCTGGCCCTCAGGGCACTCGTGGAGTAGAAGAATGTTCAGAGCAGAGAAGCAGGAGAGAGCCATCGGGAAGCGCTCAGGGTTTGGCAGGCGAGTGGTGATAAAAAAAAGCTGAAAAGTGATTTTAAAAAAGCTGAAAAGGAACTTAGGACCAAAGGCAAACAGCACCCACGTCACGCTGAGCATCTGGACACGCCACACTGCCTCTCCACGCCCGTGACCTCCACCCCATTTAAATCACATGCTGTCACCCCTGCCTGGCCTTTCCCCTCCCTGCTCACCTGCCTCCTGTCCATTCCACACATGGCTCTCAGGACGATCTTCCAAACGCACCGTTTTGATCATGATTTGGACTTACACATTTTCCACAGCGACCTTTACCGGCAAACTAACTTTCAAGAACCTGTAACAGGCTTCAAGCCTCCTCTTGGTCACTGACCTATCTGAGCCTTTGTTTCTTGCCCCGGAAAATGCTGATTATCACATCTATCTCACAGAGACCCTAGAAGGACTACAAAAGATAATACATTATCTTAGGCTTTCTAACACAAGGGCTCTGGGAGCTAAGATGATTGGAAATAGCTGAATGTGAGCGAAACATGGGTGGGACACAGAGGGACTCACCTCCGTCCACTGCAACACAACAGGATCTGATTTTGAGGAGGTCTGAGACTGAGCAATACGGAGGACCCCTCACTGTTAAGGTACTTCAGAGGCCAATGGGTCCTTCAAATGCACACAACATGTGAAAGATATTGGCTCAGGTACCCGTCCTGGTCCTGTGAATGGCGGCCTGGCCAGCAGGGACACAGGATCAGTTCCACTCAAGCTAGATGACTCAGGCTTGGGTCCATTTTCCCCAGATGCTCTTAGAAATGGTAGGCACTTGAGACTTTCACAATTTTTTTCTCTAGCATTTACTGTATTTCATCAAATCCAAGATACATCAACCCTAAGATATATTATTCTGTGCACACCAAGGTTTTTCTAGAAGACACCCTGAAATGTTATAAGAAGCTTTCTGATTTCAGAGGTTTTAAAATGTGGGGAAAATAGGCATCCTCAGACTGATGAAATATGTAATGTGTAACATGTATGTATGATGTAGTATGAAAGATGTAATATGGTTATGTACATGCCTGACCATAGCCAGGAGAAGTTTCTTTCTTTTTTGCCCAGCCTGTCTCATCTTTCTATTCACTACGGCACCTGAGACTGGTCCCTACGTGGAGTACTTGTTGCAATGATGACAATAAAGATCGTAGCTAATATTTATGGACCACTTTCCATGCAATGCTACAACTTCATATGAATTAACCCTCAAAATAACTTGTATTGGTTGTTTTGGTGAGTACTATTTTTACTCCCACTGTGCAGGTAAGAGTACTGAGGCTTAGAGGGATAGAGGGATTAAATAACTCAACAGAGTTAGGAAAGGGAACTGCTACGATTATAAACCCAAGTCTGCCTAAGGATCGATCTAGACTGTCTAAACCACTGTGCCACATTGTCCTGAAGGATGGTCAGGCAAGAAGGTGTGAAAGCCAGGTCAGAATTAAAGAGAAGAATGGTCAAGAGTTTTGGAGGTGAAGGGACTTTAAGATCGGGGTTATAGATTTTAGGAGAAGAGTTACTTATAATCTTCAATTTGAAGTCTTCTGACTGACTTTCCCGTTCCTATAATTTGGGGGGCAGGCATTATGCTCCAGCCAGGAGTCTGAATCTTATTTGGCCCAATGAACTCAATGTGAGAATACTATTTTCTTCCTCAAGATTCAGAATCCAGGCACCTTGTTGCACCGATTTTTTTCACACTATAAACCATATTTTAAAAATACATTTGATGTGGGCTTCCCTGGTGGCGCAGTGGTTGGGAGTCCCCCTGCCGATGCAGGGGACGCGGGTTCGTGCCCCGGTCCGGGAAGATCCCATATGCCGCGGAGCGGCTGGGCCCGTGAGCCATGGCCGCTGAGCCTGCGCGTCCGGAGCCTGTGCTCCGCAACGGGAGAGGCCACAACAGTGAGAGGCCCACGTACCGCGAAAAATAAAAAATAAAGAAAATACATTTGATAACAAGCATTTGATTTAACATATTTCCTCCAAGTTGACTTTGAATAGTTTATACATTTCCCCTTCACTTTTCTATCACAGACACAAAAAATAAATACAGAACTCTCCAGAGCCGCTCACCTTCACTTTCTTATTCCTTCATGATGTTCCCTAATGAACTGGGACCCAAACCTGTCTTTCTGCTGGAGCTCCTGCATCCACATTTTATAACTGGATGTGTAAGGGAGGTGGAGGAGGCTGCAAGAATGCTGATTGCTGCGGGGAATAAAAATAAGGGGCATTTTCCAGCTCCAACGATCAGAACTCAAACTGCTCTTTCTCCCAAGAATTAAAGCAGCAAAATGTAAAAACATCTCAACACAAGAAAATGTGGTCATGGCGTCAAGGCACTGCATTCCAGAAGCAAAGATTGCCCTTTACCTAGTGGATCTGTCACTGTACCATCTGGTACACGGGGTCACCAACTTTCAGGCTTCCAATTTTTTCCACCGAATAATAGATCCCAAAAAGTGGGGATGACTGGTAAATGGGCTTCTCGGAAGGATCACACAGGCGGTAGCTGAAAGAAGCAAAAATTCACCCTTAGGCACACAGAGGAAATAACCTAAGTGCTCTCAGTGGAATTCAAGCGTTCATTCTCAGGTTCTCTATAAATAAACAGCAAGCCTTTTCTAAAATGTGGACAGAGAAGTCTTGGCAATTAGTCAAACTGCAAATAATCCTGGTTTTTCTAGAAGTATCCTGAGAGTCCGAACAGTTTTTCTATGGCTTCGTTTTGAGCCCAAAAGAAGAAACTTGTACGTGTTACTTAAAATAAATACTTTGTTTGCATGTGTACTTCCAGCTTCACAACTCATGGAAATAAATGCCTGTACAATCTCAAAATGGACCTGCCCTGAACTCCAGGCTTCCTCAACAATTCTCATATTCTTGACATTGATTCTATCAAATAAATGTGAGTTGCAACAAAAATAAAATGACTCGAGGTCTTAATTTGGAAATACACATGTAAAGGTTATGAAAAATTGATGTGAGAGGGCTTCCCTGGTGGCGCAGTTGTTGAGAGTCCGCCTGCCGATGCAGGGGACACGGGTTCGTGCCCCGGTCCGGGAGGATCCCACATGCCGCGGAGCGGCTGGGCCCGTGAGCCATGGCCGCTGAGCCTGTGCGTCCGGAGCCTGTGTTCCGTAACGGGAGAGGCTACAACAGTGAGAGGCCCGCATACCGAAAGAAAAAAAAAAATTGATGTGAGAGAGACGATAATTTCAAAATGTAGGATAATACAATTAAAAATTTGTCCAAAGCACTCGAAGATCCATCTAGAAAAAAAAGAGAAAGCCACAAGTACTCACGTACATTAAACAACAGACACAAAACAAGCAGAGAGCAGAGAGGTGCCCAGACAGAGCACCTACAGCCACAAGCGGTTCAAAGGATGGGGATAATATAGAAATACACTGGACACGTGGGTGTTCTACCTTTTCAGGGTTTCCAGCGGCTCCTTCCTGCTGATCACTCCGGTATCTGGGTCCACCGTGGTCATAACGCACCTGTCACACAATAACAAAGGGTTAGGGGACAGTTAAGAACCGATGAGCATGCCACGCGCCAGAGAGTCCTTACCTGGGACAAGCCAAAACCTTTTTCATTTCTACGTCGCCAATGAAGAGCTCACCCCAGGTGTCCTAGGAGAAAAGAAAAAGGTATTTTTTTAATTAAGGCTTCATCAGTCTTTATAGCAGTTTATTCTTTGGCTGGTCCTATGAAGCTAGCAGAAGAAAGCAGTGCAAGAGGATGCCACGAAGTATTCCCCCAAAAGGACTCAAATGGAGGCAGTGTGTTGGTGAGTCCGGGATCCAGCTCTTGACTTGGTCTCAGAAGCCTGCCCCTTTCAGCACAGCAAAAATAGATCTTCTCTAGGGGGTAGTTTGCCATGAGGACCGTAAACAACTCCAGGTCAAGTTAATGATAGATAATGAGAAGCGGAAAACTTGCAAGACTGCCCACTCTTTCCTTTTGCTAAGCTACAATGGAAGCCAAGTTACAATCTGATGGGTCTTTGATGAGTGGGACATGACCCAAGAAAAGTCAGTTCTGAGTTTCATCCATCCAACACCTCCACCTCCGCAGAGCAGCAGCCTGTCCCCTGCTCTGGCCAGTCACGGCCGCCGGCCCTGCTTTGCTTTCCCACCCTTGAACCGTGGTAGATCCTGCCAACGTCTGCCTCAGGGCTTCCATCAAACCTCAGGACTTGGAGGGAGGTACTGTTTTGGTCCCATTTTTACACAAAGATAAGGAGGCAAAGAGAGATTAAAAAGTTTTCTCAGGGTTGCAGCAGTTAGGTTTGAAAACCTTTCTGATTCTGAAGCAGGACTTTTAATCTCCCAGCTTCTAACTATACCCATCTATATATCTATCTACACACACACATACATACATATATACACACATATATGGAGGTTATACAGATTACATTATATATACATATACACATTCATATACACACACACATACACATATATATATGAGGAGGGTATGTTACAGCTCTCTCTTGCTAACAGGAAAGCCATCTATCTGCAAAGCTTGAATTTCACAGGACAATCCTTTGTCCAGGCCGCCAGAGGAGAGGCGGGAGGCATCGGGCTTCACTGGGGCTTCACTCCAGGCTCCATAAACCAACAGTACTTATAACTAGATGCAAAAAAAAAAAATGACCCTTGAAAAATTGTTTCCTGATCTCAACCCAAGTGAGGTTTTCGGAGACCATGGGTCTAACGGATTTGGTGAGAAATCAGCCTCCACGTGAGGCAATGAGGCATCTATTCCTCTCACCCACTGGGCTCACTCCCCCAAGGACAGGAGAGGAGAGCAGTCTGTCCCTGCAGGAAGCAGGGCAGAGCAGGGGGTGGGGCCTCTCATGTAACATTTCCCCCTCCCCACTGATGACCAGGCTCCAATCATGCTAGGGTCCTCTTTCAGGGATACACTAACCCCCCAGGGCCTACAGGGGTGATTCAGCAAAGGCACAAAAGGAAGTCCAGTACCTAACTGGGTCTTCCCAACTCAGAAATCTCCTGCGGGATATGACTGAAGTAAGGAGGTCTCTGTGAACGCCCTGGGTTTCCAACCATCATTTATGAAACTGTTTCTGTGCGGAAATAAACTCTGCGTTCCAAACAACCCGTTGAGTGGGGAACTGTGTAACCCTTGTAAAAGGCAAACCCACATAACATAAAATGGAATCTCTATAGCCTAGCCAGGACTTTTTACAAGCAATGTTCAAACGCAAAACTGCAAGGCAGGCATAGTGCCTAGCTAACTTCCTGGAGGAAGGTGGAATATGACCAAGTAATAACAGCTCCTGCCTCGGGAAGTGATGGGCCTTGTGGTACCCTAGCCCGGAAGCTGCTAAAAAGGCTGGACGCACTTGGCCACACGAGGGCACTGCGGCCACAGTAACGTGAGCCCATCAGGCAGCCTGGGCCGAACCACGCCCCCACTCAGCTTTCCAAGTAGCTCTCCACCCCCGCCAACGTTCAATTTCTTTTTACAAGTGCTGAGCAATCGCATATTTCAAAACAACGTTATCTGTGGAAAGTCGGCCTCGTGACTGTGATATAAAGCAGGAAGTCTGAAAAGTTCAGTTAGGTTTCCTAGTTTAACAAGACATTTAATCTGCTCTTAACGCTATTACACAACTGAAGTACCCAGTTTAGAATAACAAATTACCCGTTTTCATATGAATTGTATGAAGTCCCCCAAATGCCAGTTCTAATTACCTCCTAAAATATTAATCAGTTTATATGATAACATCACCCATCCTGATCTGATTGTCAGCATTTTGGTGTACAGCCTTTAGTTGCAGTAAAAAAAAAATTCACTAAGCAAATTAAGTTAAATGAAATTATTAATTATGTTATTAGAGAAAATAATAATGCATTTTAAATTGTAGAAAATTTAAAATTAAAGAATATAGGAAATTAAATTTTCCATTACATTCTACTAGACGCCCGAGGTGTCTTCCCTAAGCACAGAAACAGCTCCAAGAGCTTACAGCTCCCCCTGCTGGTAGGCAGCCTCTCTGCAGCCTGGCAAAATCCAGGCCATTTAGAGCGAACACAGAAAAAACCATGGAGTTTTTGAGATGGAAGAAGAAAGGAAAGGAAGAAAGAAAGCAGGGAGAAAGGGGAAAGTACTATACATAAAGGGCTCAGCTCTGTGGAAGAATCCTGAGAATTTACTATTAATTTGCAGGCATTTTGTAAACACTAAATTAAGACTACATGGTTTCCTATCACAAGAAGCATCCAGAGAAAGACATAAAAGAAGGGTTTGGAGTCATTGCTGAGGAACACACAGAACAGCACAGGGGAGGATGTCTGTTTATTGGAGACCTTCATTGGAGTGCATATGGGCATGTGCCCAGCAAAAGCTAAAGGTGCGCCAGGAGATGAATCTCTCTCTCTCTCTCTATATGGCTATACACACACAGCTATATACATATAATTAGAGAGAGGGAATAGCTATATAGAGAGAATAGTTATCCATCATTCTCTATATATGTTATGGTTCTCTCTATATATGTTCTATGATTATATACATATATACTTGTGGCTATACGTACACAGGTATACATGGATATATACATATATTTGTAGAGAGGAAATAGATATATATCTATATATTCCATATTTTTCTATGGATATATATATATATATATATATATATATATATATATATATAGAGAGAGAGAGAGAGAGAGAGAGAGAGAGAGAGAGAAAGGAGAGTGCCAGGTGAGAATGTAGGCCCAGGTAAGCTCTTGAATAACCAACTAACCATAGACAGACAAGACATTTGAAAGTAAGAAGGAAAGACAGAGGGCAAAAGGTTGAGTGGGTCTGCTGTTTCGTGGTCTACAAAGGAATTCTCCTGAGGAGCACGGATCAGATCAGCAGTTCTAATCAGACCAACAGCTACAGAGCCTTTGGGCACCTATACCCCAGGTCCTGCCTGCCTACTACCACCTGAGCCCTTCCCCTCCCAAATCTCAGATACATGATCTGTGCTTTCCTTCCGCTGCTCCTGATTCTTTAATGGCTACTCATCAGTTCATTATACTGTGTCATACATACAATTGTTAGAAGAAGTTTTAGGCTATGTTGGGATAATTCGAAGGAATGAATAAGTAAATAAACAAAATTTTTGTCTAGAAACCTTTAAGTAATTTTCTGGCTTGGTATCAATGACTGGACAAGATTACCATAGGCTCAGAAAGTCATCCACTAGAGGCTGGCTATATGCATGCAGACTTACTGTTTGGGTATTAGAAAGGAGGGTGTGAATCTCCATTTATTAACGCTGAATAATGTTCAAGATGTTGCCAGGTGAAAAAAGCACACCTAGATATATATACTACATGTAGGATGATTCCATCTATGTAAAACAAATCTGTTTCAATACCTGTGTGTATATATCTATAGCAATATATTTGGAAGGCTTCTCAAGTTTAAATAGTATTATTTGCTTTTTATAATAAATTTTTCTTTTATTTTTTTCGTTTTACTTTTTATACGAAGCATTATAATCCCAACGACACATTTAAAAACATCATTTTAGTCTAGAAAGTTTCTCAGATTCTTTCTGACAACAAATACATGGTGTCTTATCCAACACCAATTCTGCAATTCTTTGACACACACTGCTGTCCAACAATTTAACTCAATTTTGATACTAACTGCTCTGAGTTAGCACAGACCCCATGGGTTCAGGGCTCAGTCCCACAAGACTGCCCCACGTCAGACGCCAGCTGCAAGTCCCAAGTCTCCCGTACTTCTGACCAACCAGCTATAAATCAAGGGTTCCCATGACCCCCTCTGAGGCTCCATATTTTGCTGGAAGAGCTCACAGAATTCAGGAAAGTGCTTTACTATTACCAGTTTATTATAAAGAATACAATTCAGGAACAGTCAAATGGAAGACATGCACAGGGCAAGGTATGGGGGAAGAGCACAGGCAGAGCTTCTGTGCCGTCCCCAAATGCACCACCCTCCCAGCACCCTAATGTGTCACCAATCAGTGAGCTCTCCAAACCCCATCGTTTAGATGTTTTATGGTGGTTTCATTACTTAGGCATGATTGATTAAATCATTAAACTCAACCTCCAGCCCCTCTCGCCTCCCTGGAAGTCTGGGATGGGACTGAAAGTTCCACACTGTAATCATGTCTTGGTCTTCTGGTGACCAAGCTCCCTCCTGAAGCTATCTACCTGCCTCACCCATCCTGACATTCACCTCATTACCATAAACTTAGGTGTGATTGAAAGGGGCTTGTTATTAACAAAAAATGTTCCTGTCACCCTTGTCAATCAGGAAATTCCAAGGGTTTTAGGAGCTGTGCCAGGAACAGGGGCCAAAGACGGAATAGATATTTCCCATTACACCGCACAGTTAAGCTATCTCAAACCAAAATCTGTTTCTCTATTTTTAAGGTACACAAGCAAAATGATATTCTTTAATGTCCTGTTCGAATCTCCCTATAAAGAAACCCCATGGCATTCTTCCTACAACGAGACCCCTATACACACACATACTTTGCACTGAGTGCTCCTTTCTCTGGGCTCTAGAGAAACATAACGTGGTTATGTTTCCAGTACCACAACCCTTCTCCTACTGAGTCCTACATCCTG